TTAAGGTTAAGGACTAACTTTCCTACAGTCCCTAAGAATAAGACCTACATGTTAAGGTTAAGGACTAACTTTCCTACAGTCCCTAAGAATAAGACGTACATGTTAAGGTTAAGGACACTTATTTCCTCTTCCTTTCTTCATGGTCATTTTGCTGCCCATCAGTCCTAGAGCCTGCATCTGTAAGGGCTCATTTTGTTTTTTTCTTTGTTTTTCTTAATTTTATTTATTTTATTTTATTTTATTTTATTTTTAGAGACAGAGTCTCACTTTATTGCCCTCTTAAGAGTGCCATGGCGTCACACAGCTCACAGCAACCTCTAACTCCTAGGCTTAGGCGATTCTCTTGCCTCAGCCTCCCGAGTAGCTGGGACTTACAGGCGCCCACCACAACTCCCAGCTATTTTTTTGTTGTAGTTTGACCAGGGCTGGGTTTGAGCCCACCACCATTAGTACATGAGGCTGGTGCCCTATCCACTGAGCCACAGGTGCCACCCTCTTGTTTGTTTTTAATCTATTAAGGTATCCTAAGCTGAGAGTATAGCCCTTTTTTCTATTTTAGTTGAAACACAGCCCTAGCTCACCGCCACGTTAACTAGCAGAGCTAATTGTAATAAAGAACGTTCTTTACAGATTAATATTAGTCAAGATGAGTCAGAATAAAGTCCATGAGTGCAGAATTTTGTCAGAAAATATTTTTGGAATCTAAACAGATGTTCTCTCCTTCTGGTTTAATTAATAAGTACACAAGGGACATTTGTCTCTTAATTAAGTGCCTCTAGAGCACTGTATCAGTGCTGAGATGAGCAGCTCTCACATCTCAGCCTAATACTAATGTGGTTTAGCCAGAGAATTCCCTCAAGTACACCAAGAAATAGATTTTTATTAAAAAGACATACTGATATATAGAGTTCTTTTTAAGCTACAAAAGTCTGTCATTTCTGTTTAAAATTAATTGAGAAACTTTTAAAACATGAGCATTTATTATTTAGATATGAAACAAATCTTTTTGAATTTTTATTTCATAACAGAAGAGAAGATTCACAAAAAGTTAGAAGGGTCTCCCTCTCCAGAGGCAGAATTGTCCCCTACAGCGAAGGATCAAGTGGAAATGTATGTAACATTGTATTCAATAATAAAGTGTGCATTTGTTAAAAAACAGACTAATAACTACTATATGGTTTCCGTTTTTGTTTGTTACCTTCTATTTAGTTTTGTATTTCATAATCTGGGAAACATTTATTGACTGCTTATCTGTGCTTGATGCTTCGAATTCATGGGCAAATAATGGGGTTCTATCCTTATCCAGCATATTCAATATTTGTGAAATTAATCAGTGACGCAAATTAATCTTTACTAAATCTCTTCACGTACTATTACCTTTGAAATTTACAGTGACCTTTTGAGGAGGCAGTAAAAAATGATGATTATTATACTTGTTTACAGATAAGAACATTGAGTTCCCACTGCTCATTGCAAAGGGAACAAGGGCAGATCTTTGGCCTTGCCAAACCTGTTTCATAAAGATACTGTTAGCTCTTTCTTTGTAAATGATAAGTATTCAAATAATAAGCAGACTTCATTGTTACACATTTCATTTTAATCTTCTGAACTTCTAAAACCTAAGGAGAAAAAATAGCATTTAATGGATTTATAAAGACCTGTGCTGTCCATAGTTAGCCACAGCGCAGTTGTGGCTGTGGAGCACTTGAAGTATGATTGGTTCTAATTGAGATATGCTATAAGTATAAAATTCCCATTAGATTTCAAAGACTTAATTTTAAAAAGAGTATAAAGTATTACATTCAACATTTTAAAATATTGATTATATGTTGAAGTGATAATACTATGAATTTATTTGATTAAACAAAATGTTATTGGAATTAATTTCACCTGATTTTTATGCTTTTAATGTGACTGTTAGAGCATTTGAGATTATATGTGAAGTTCACAAGATATTTCTGTTGGACAGCTCTGATATAGACTGAGGAGGAGGCTTGGCACCTGTGGCTCCAGTGGCTAAGGCACTAGCCACATACACCTAAGGTGGCGGGTTCGAATCCAGCCTGGGCCCACCAAACAACGACAGCTACAACCAAAAAACAGCTGGGCATTGTGGCGGGCGCCTGTGGTCCCAGCTACTTGGGAGGCTGAGACAGGAGACTCACTTGAGCCCAGGAGTTGGAGGTTGCTGTGAGCTGTGATGCTATAGCACTCTACCCCAGGGGGACAGCTTGAGGCTCTGTCTCAAAAATAAAATAAAAAAATAAAAAATAAATAAATAAAAAGAAGACTGAGGAGGAGAGTAACACTCAGGCCCTTTGAAAACATGGTCTTTTACCACTTGAGGTGTGACCCTGAGTGTTGCTTATCCAACAGCAGTCCCCGCATTAGCCAGCACAACTTTAAATTCTTCCTTTAGCAGTCTGTTCTGCTCTCAGATTGCCTACAGCTGCCAGTTTCCTAGCAAATTAAAAACTCTTCCCCATTTTCAAGCCCTCTAAAACCCATCTCCCTGGTTTTTCCCCACTGTACATTTCTGGCAGTCAGCAGTCCAACCAACCTTCTGTTCTGTGAGCATAAGCTATCTTTCACAGGAGTTCTCAGGCTCACAAGTCGTACACCTGAGACCCCTCCACTTCTGGCTGGAAATTGAAGGCTCGGTTGTGGCCACTTTCTCTAATTGTTCTAGGACTCACCAACATCCTCTTTCTGAAGGCCTGCTTAAATTCCAGGCAGTATGTTAGAAGTCACTTACAGTGCTGTTCTGGCTCATTTTGTATATTAATTCCTTTACTTTTCATGACTCTGTAAGATAGATACTATTACCACCATTTTGAGGGTAAGGAAACAGCCGCAGAGAGGTGAAGTAATGTGCCTAAGGTCACACAGCTTGTAAGTGGCAGCGTCAGGATTCAGCCTCAAGGAATGTGGCTTTAGAGCTCATATGCTTAGTTAATTCACCATCCAGCTTTCCAACTGCATGTGTTTCCAGTGATCACCAATTTTGTGAGGAAGGTCGTACAATTATCACATAGTTAAGAAAATAAACATAAACATTAAATTCTGAGCTTAATGTCAGCAGCAGTAGTAATTGAGCTGAGATTTAAATTCACATATTTCTTACTGTAAAAACTGTATATTTCAATGTGTTATAAATTATTGTAAAGTTAATGAGTCATGGATGATATAGTACTGACTCTTAAAATGAAATATTCCATTTCTCTGGTTGATAATGTTGTTTTACTATTGCTGGTACATCTGTGTACTCATTTTTTAACTCTTCACTCTGTTTTTCAGGTACTATGAAGCATTCCCACCACTCTCTGAGAAACCAGTTTGCCTGCAAGAAATCATGACTGTGTGGAACAAGTCTAAAGTCAGTTCTTACTCTAGCTCCTCTTCATCGTCCACAGCCCCTCCAGCTAGCACAGGGACATCCTCTCCCAAGGACTGCAACAGTGAAGGTGAAGTCATCAAGGAAAGAGGCAGTGAAGTCCCCATCACTGTGCCTGAGAAAACCCAGGGCAAAAGTAAAAATGAGAAGGAGAACAAATTCAGTAACGGCACAGTCGAAGAAAAGCCTGCTTTGTACAAAAAGCAAATCCGACATAAACCTGAAGGAAAGATTCGCCCTCGCTCATGGTCTTCCGGCTCTAGTGAAGCAGGCTCAAGTTCAAGTGGCAATCAAGGAGAATTAAAAGCATCCACAAAATATGTTAAAGTAAGACACAAGGCACGAGAGATTCGAAACAAAAAAGGGCGGAATGGGCAAAGCAGGCTCTCATTAAAGCACAGCGAAAAGGCTGGAAGGAGCATCCACACAGGAAGCAGCAGCAGCGGCAGCAGTGGTCCCGTCACACAGCTGTGCAGGCGGGCGAAGCGGCCACTGAGAGAAGCAGGGAGGAAGGAGCCTGGCGGTGCTGATGGGAAAGACCTGTACACGGAGAGCAGGAGTGACAGGGAGTACAAAGAGGAGCCGCTGTGGTACACCGAACCAATTGCTGAGTACTTTGTTCCTTTGAGCAGAAAAAGTAAACTAGAGACCACATACCGAAACAGACAAGATACAAGTGATCTGACATCAGAGGCAGTGGAAGAATTGTCTGAATCAGTGCATGGTCTTTGTATCAGCAGCAGTAACATTCATAAAACATACCTCGCAGCAGGGACCTTCATTGATGGTCATTTTGTAGAAATGCCTGCAGTTATAAATGAGGATATTGACCTCACTGGGACCTCATTGTGTTCTCTACCAGAGGACAGTAAATATCTGGATGATATTCATCTATCAGAATTAACACACTTCTATGAAGTAGATATTGATCAATCCATGTTGGATCCTGGTGCCTCAGAAACAATGCAAGGAGAAAGTCGGATTTTGAATATGATTCGACAAAAAAGTAAAGAGAAGACAGATTTTGAGGCAGAATGTTGCATAGTGTTAGATGGTCTGGAGTTGCAAGGGGAACGTGCAATATGGACAGATTCTACCAGCTCCGTGGGTGCTGAGGGCTTATTCCTGCAAGACCTTGGCAATCTGGCTCAGTTTTGGGAGTGCTGCTCATCTAGCTCTGGCGATGCTGATGGAGAGAGTTTTGGAGGAGATTCTCCTATCAGACTCTCTCCAATCTTAGACAGCACAATGCTCAATTCACACTTGCTTGCTGGCAATCAAGAGCTATTTTCAGATATTAATGAAGGATCTGGTATAAACTCTTGTTTTTCAGTGTTTGAAGTGCAATGCAGTAATTCTGTTTTACCATTTTCTTTTGAAACACTCAACTTAGGAAATGAAAATACAGATTCTAGTACTAATATGCTTGGGAAAACACAGTCTAGATTGCTAATATGGACCAAAAATAGTGCCTTTGAAGAAAATGAACACTGTTCTAATCTTTCAACAAGAACTTGTAGTCCGTGGTCCCATTCAGAAGAAACACGTTCGGATAATGAGACATTAAATATTCAGTTTGAAGAATCCACACAATTTAGTGCAGAAGATATTAATTATGTAGTTCCTAGAGTCTCATCAAATTATGTAGATGAAGAACTTCTGGATTTTTTGCAAGATGAAACTTGCCAGCAAAACAGTAGAAGTTTAGGTGAAATTCCTACGTTAGTTTTCAAAAAAAAATCTAAACTAGAATCTGTCTGTGGTATTCAGCTAGAACAAAAAACAGAAAACAAAAACTTTGAAACTACACCAGTATGTAGTGAAAGCAGTCCACATGGAGATGGCTACAGCTCAGGGGTTATTAAAGACATTTGGACAAAGATGGCAGATAGAAACTCTGTGGCTACAGTAGAAATAGAAGGAATTGATGAGTTGTTTTCAACAGATGTAAATAACTCCTGCTGCTGTTTGGATGCTGAAGCTAACGTGGAAACCCTTCAGGAGCCCAATAAGGCTGTGCAGAGGTCCGAGTATCATCTGTGGGAGGGGCAGAAGGAGACCCTGGAGAAAAGGGCATTTGTTTCTGGTGAGCTATCGAAGGCTGATGGTGGCGATTATACTACACCCTCTAGACCTTGGGATGTATCCCAAGATAAAGAGAATGCTTTCATTCTTGGAGGAGTTTATGGAGAACTCAAAACCTTTAATAGCGATGGGGAATGGGCGCTGGTGCCACCTAGTCACACAAAAGGAAGTTTGTTACAGTGTGCAGCTTCCGACGTAGTGACAATAGCTGGTACAGATGTCTTTATGACCCCAGGAAACAGTTTTGCTCCTGGTCACAGGCAGTTATGGAAACCCTTCGTGTCATTTGAACAGAATGAGGAGCCGAAGAGTGGAGAAAATGGATTAAATAAGGGATTTTCTTTTATCTTCCATGAAGACTTACTAGGAGCTTGCGGTAACTTTCAAGTTGAAGATCCTGGACTTGAATATTCTTTCTCTTCCTTTGACTTAAGCAATCCATTTTCACAGGTTCTTCATGTAGAATGTTCATTTGAACCCGAAGGGATTACATCTTTCAGCCCCAGTTTTAAACCGAAATCAATCCTCTGCTCTGATTCAGACAGTGAAGTTTTTCATCCCAGGATATGTGGAGTTGACAGAACACAATACAGGGCTATTCGCATCTCTCCTAGGACTCACTTTCGCCCCATTTCTGCATCTGAACTGTCCCCAGGAGGAGGAAGCGAGTCAGAATTTGAATCTGAGAAAGATGAAGCAAATATTCCCATTCCTTCTCAAGTTGATGTATTCGAAGATCCACAGGCAGATCTCAAACCTCTAGAAGAAGATGCAGAGAAAGAAGGCCATTACTATGGAAAATCAGAGCTTGAGTCTGGAAAATTCCTCCCCAGGTTAAAAAAATCTGGAATGGAAAAGAGTGCTCAGACATCACTGGATTCTCAAGAGGAATCAACGGGGATTCTTCCAGAAGGAAAGCAAAATCAGTGTTTGGAATGTAACATGAATGAATCTCTGGAAATAAATTTAGAAAGCTCAGAAGCAAATTGTAAAATAACGGCACAATGTGAGGAAGAAATTAATAATTTTTGCAGTTGCAAAGCAGGTTGTCAGTTCCCTTCTTACGAGGATGATCCAGTCTCTTCAGGACATCTGGAGGAGGTATGTGCCTACATGTTTGTATTTGACAGAAGGATTTGATCAGACTTTAATTCAAGAACAGCCATATCAGGCAACAAAAGAAAGACAGGATTAAATTATTGGGAAACTAGCTTAAATGTCTTAAAATGTATCATTAAGGTTTTACATTTAAAGACTTAAGATGAATTTGATGTTCATAAATTTGAACTAAACTCTACACTTTTTCTGCAGAGAAGGCATTTAAAGATCCCTGTATGTAGATTCTTCTGTGTTGTTTTAATATATGTGTACTATACTTAATGTAAGCACTTAGTGTAAACACTGCATTGGGAAGGGGCTGCTAGTAAAGAGTTTTCAGTAGCTAGCCTCTCTGCCTCTTAGGTGTTGATAAGTTTATTAAAACTTGTGTTTTAGGCTCGGTGCCTGTGGCTCAAGTGACTAAGGTGCCAGCCACATACACCTAAGGTGGCGGGTTTGAATCCAGCCCGGGCCCACCAAACAATGATGGCTGCAACCAAAAAAAATAGCCAGGCGTTATGGTGGGCGCCTATGGTCCCAGCTACTTGGGAGGCCAAGGCAGGAGACTTGCTTAAGCCCAGGAGTTGGAGGTTGCTGTGAGCTGTGATGCCACGGCACTCTACCCAGGGGGACAGCTTGAGGCTCTGTCT